CTCTTCACCTTACAATTTGTATGGCACTTTGGCCCGGGGTTGTGGTGTGGTAGGGGAGAATGGGGGATACTCCCACACAGGAGTTTCGAACAACGTCCGGTTCACGTTTGGCTGGATAACTCCACCACCACACAGGGTATGCGGTCGGCGATGGGGTCAGAATGCTCGTATGATCGAGGGCTTTTCGATGGATCTATCGGCGGGTTCTTATTCGAAAAATCGAGCGAGTTCGTGGTGGAGCGGTTTTGAGTTTCTGTCAGTTCTAATGTACACAGGCACTGTAAACCTCAAATTCTTTGTAAATTGAGCTCAATAAGTATAATAGTCATAAGCTTGATCTTTGCTTTGTATAAAATAGACTCATCTATATCTCATCATGTTGTCTGTAATCAACATGTAGTATTTAGTTCTCTGACATGATTTAACAAAGTGATCAGACATCTCATTTAACATGCATCTGTCACCTGCAAGATCAATATAAATATATTGCATGAGTCAGGTCACTCATGGCATGAGAGTCTGAGAAAAACAATGTGTCATGTCTTCTTTCACACAACTGTCACAGAAAAAACCAGTCTTGAGACTCTTGATTCAGACATCTAATAACAGATTCTTCATCAACACAATAATAACTTCTGCATGTATATAACCTAAGTCTGTGTATCATTCAGTGAGTGTTTTAGCAATTGTGAAGAGTTGAGTCTGATTATTATTAGTGAAATTATTGTCATCAGCAGTAGTTACAGCATTCATATATACATATGATTTCGCGGTGTAATATATTACTCTTGACTCATGATAAATGTCAACTTCTGACATTCTTTCAACAATCTTATATATGAAGCTCTGAGACATGCAAATCATGATGAAAGTAACATTATTTGAGACTCTCATGAGAAAGTAAGATGAGATGAATGATGATAATTCAAATCAAAAGCTCTGATCTTCAAGCTTGACAAATAACAACAGGTTGACTGTGAGATTGAGGATTCAGTGAATATCACAGATTGTAATATTCCTCTCTTCAGATTCTAAGAGAAGATTGTCAATTTCCTTGACATAGCTGTGGCCTCTGTCTGCAGTGTTAACCTTGAGATCACTGACATAAGTCTTACATTGAATAAGAGACTGCTTTTCCCTCATTATATTGAAGCTTACACATGTATCAAGAAATCAAGGCTTGAATATAGTGTCAACAGTCACTGAAAAAGCAATCACAGCATTGACTGTGACAGGTTAAGAGGCTAGAAGATTGAAAGATTCATTTTTTTTATTATTCTTATTCTTATTCTTCTTCTTATCTCTCTGCTTACTGTGTCTGCTGGTATTACTACTATCATTCCCTTCAGATATAATGATATAATTCTTGTTTAACTCATGTCACTGTTTAGTAGTAAGTTTGGGATGTAGACATCAGCAAGTGTTCTTTGAGTGTCAGTTTGTACTGCATATATCACACTTGAAGCTGTCAGTGAATGATATAGTAGAGATTGTGATGACTGTATTGACTTACTACAGTTTAAGACATTCATTCTTAGACTTGCTTATATGATTTATTAACTGTTTCATGAGATCTTTAATATCAATATTGTGAATAGAGTCTTGATCAGTTGTGTAGAAATCATTCAAACATGTCTTAATAAAAGACTTTTGATAATCTTTTAAATCAATAAGGAAGAGATTATGATAGAAGTCTTCTGAGTCATTCACTAACTTCTTATAACATGTAATCAAATAACAGAATCTTCTCTGAAATGCTAGATAATCATTTTTCTTGATATGTAAGATGATCAATTCTTTTATAATATTCATACATTCTTTCACAAGTGAGACAGTGTACTCAACTTCAATTCTTTTCTATAACACAGCTGTATTATCTGACTCAAGAGTTTCAATGATTGTATGTACAGGTTCTAATAAGAACTGCAACATACATTGATACAGTGCTTTGATGCAAATGCTTCATTTTTCAACACTTAACATGTCTTAACTGATGTCTTCTGAACAGACACATTGATTCTTTGTAAGAATATTAGATTTGCTGACAACTTCAGTGTCTGTAAGGATTTCTGTACATCAGGCCTGATAATTGATGCTGTCAAATGTGATTACAGCCTTAGTATTCATGACTTTTTGAACATTCTTATGATATTCATGGATCTGAGATTTGAAATCATTCACAGCAGGGGTGACCTTCTGATGCGTGCTCATTCTATCACAGAACATCATAAGGTTATCTAACAACATGAATATCATGCTATCTTGACTCATTCTAGGCATAGAACTGCCAGCAGGGCGCGCTCCTGTGAGTGCTGTATATGTAGCACTTCAGCTTGAGATTTCATCATCAGATTCATGATAAGTGTCTGCATCTTGACTAGCAGATGACTTCATGACTTTCTCTGTGACTTTCATGTACTGAGTAATGTCATCTTTGTCTGATTCTTCATCAATAGAGGCCTGTTGAGCTGTCTGAGTATGAGAATGAGAGTGTAGAGTCTTCTTTCTATCACTCTGAGAAGTAGATAAGCTACTCATCAGTCATCACAACCTGGGTATAGATATAAGAAAAGAGATTCAGATAAGATCAATCTCATTCAGTTATTAACTTGAAGAAAGAATGTAATCTCTTAATCTCTAGATGCATCTACTTGTTCTGAGTAATGAGAATGTCTTCTACTCAAATCAACATAGAAAAGTGAATCAATTCACAGACAATTGACTACAGTGTAATCATTCTATAAAAATGTGTATAAGAGGTCTTATTAAAAGAAAAATGTGAATGTCCCGGGCTATAATCTGTAAGTGAGAAAGGTTACTTCTTCTATTATTATGAGAGTAGCTAGCTACATTATATAACATAAGAGATTACATGCAGGCGGAGTGATCGCTAGAGCAATGCTATCAAGACGCTACAGAACTATACTCTGAAAGTTATAAAGATAAGCTTAAATTATATAATCAGAGAAAGAGTCTCTTCTTCATTTTCATTAATTAACTCTGAAAATGAACTGAATTAAAATAGATTTCTTGATTAAAATAAAAATAATTCTTCAAAGAAAATGTCTTCTCAACTGTACAGACTATACTCACTGATTAAAAATCAATTTTCTTCTTTAAATATTGAAAAAGTTGATCATGAGAAGTTATCTTTCTGAAGAGAAAAGCTTGAATCTCTTATAGACTTATAAATAAGTGAACTATTAAAAGAGAAAGAATATGAACAGTATTTAAAGAGAATTTCTACAATCAATATAAAAGACTCTATTCTGATTTATTCAATGACTTAAAAAATGAGAATTTGAATAGATTAGATGCAGACATTGCTTATACTGAAGATAATATTAATTTTATCTCAGATTTCTGAAATTTAGACTGTGAATCTGAAGTCTTTGACACTGAACTATTTACAATAGTGAAAGCTTTCAAACTTATTAAAATAAAATCTTATAAAAGAGAAAATAGTTTGAAAGATATATGAATACTCTCTAATAATCAAGCTGCTTTAAAAAGACTTAGAGATAGTTAGATTTATAATGATCAAATGAATCTTGAACTGATCTTAAACTTTATTTTAAAAATTCAAAAGAGAAGAATATCAAAGCTGATAATTCATCTACACTAAGTTTCTGCTTATATAAATATTCATGATAATGAATTGACTGATTCAGCTGTAAAAAAAGATTCAGAATTAAGTAGATATATTCAAAAAATTATATTCTGATCTTTTATAAAGAGAAAAATAAAAGAATCTTATTTAAATAAGTGAAATAAAAGCTGACAGAAATAAAAGAAGAGTATACATTATTCAAGATTTGAGATAAAATCAAAGTGAAAATCTTGTTTAATTAAATATAAAAAGAAAATATTCTCATCTATAATTCAGCTGAAACTAGAACATGATTATTTCAAATTCTATATATAAAGATTTGATGATAGATTTGATTTAATTAGACTGACCGTGTGACCGTGTCTAGAACCAGAATCAAACTTTACAGTTGTCACATTGTCTAAAAGCATTACTTCTGATCATGATTTGTGTTCATCACATTGATTTCAAATCCTGTTATTTCAAATATTAAAGATCTCAGATTCACTTTTCAAATAAAAATCTAGTCTCAGATAAAGAATATGTTTGAATTCTTAGTCATATTTTCATTCTGATCTCATTATTGAAAATGACATCAAATGAGATCATGAAATCATTTCTCACTTACATAATATCATAACATAGTGCTCATTTGTTGAAAATTCAACAGAGAGTGTTACTAAATATTGTTACTTTTCTAAATATAGATTATAATCAATATCATTTTAATTAAAAAAAAAAATGTACAATACAAAAAATAATAAAAAAACAAAAAACAAAATAACAAGAAAAAATCAAAACAAAAAAAAAAAAAAAACAAAAAAAGAGAAAGAAAAAAAGAAGAGAAAGAAAAAAAGAGACAGAAAGAGAAAGAAAATTAAAAAAAAAAAAGAAAAGGAAAAGAAAAAAACAAAAAATAAAAATAAAAAAAAATCAAGATTGCAGAGCTGCAGCACTCTTAAAATACTCACTTCTTAGAGTCTTTACAATGTTCATCACCAATCATGTATCTCTCACAGTGAGAATAACACAGCTGTGATAAGTCATTGTCTTAACATCTGTTGACTCTTACAGCCGTTGCGGTTAGTGATTCTACTAGATTACATGACTCATCACTATATTATGTTCCTGTAGATAGATCTATCAATACAACCTTCAACTATTCTACAGGTTATAGTCTGGATGGCATGTTTTTCTTTTTAGAACATTGTATCAACATATTTTTGACATGAATAGTTCACCTTTTTTGAAAAGACTCTTACTCTTTATTAGAGATATTCCATTTTTCCTGAATCTGCCAGTCAGCGGATTTATATACTTTATATTTTTGAGAAAGCACGTTCTCCATTGTGGAGGATATCACTTTTTATTTTTTTTTTTACACATCTAGGAGAAGCAGAGCCACCTCAATATGAGTGATACACCTGTTACTTCAGAGTTCAGCTCAAGGCCCAGGACCACACGCTTCACTAGACAACTCATTGATAGAATGATCACTTATTATGAGGAAGCTTCTGACTTGCAAGATGAGGCTGAGATCAGTTTTCATCAGAGTATGGAATTTGATGATGAGACAATGAAGGAACTTCAGAACAAAGAAAAGCAGAGTCAACATTCATCTGCAGAATCTGTTCATTTCAACCCTTCAAATTCTCCACCATCTCTCACCCCCGGAATGCCGACTTTTAATGATGATCCGAATCAACCTATCTATTGCACCGCAGGCAATCTTATGAATCTTATGCAGATGATGCTACAGAACCAGATGACTGCAGCTGAAACCACTCAACATCTCACTACATCTGCACAAAGAGACACTACAAGAGATGAGTTACAGGAATATCAGAAGAAAGTCAAATATGCACTAGACATCAAATCAGTGACCACATTTGATGACTCTAATTATAAAGCCTGGCATGTTGATATGTTGACTGATGTGAAAGTTATTGATGAAATCAACATTCTATTGAGAACTCAACAAGAATTCTCTTTTACACATTATATTGACTCTGAGAAGTGGAGAATCCATTCTAAGTCTCTATATAGGTGTATGCTATCGAGTCTTGTTGGAAATGTTTGAACCACTATTGAAACCTTGAAAGCTGACAATGCTGTGGCTCTGTGGGACAAGATCAATGTGGAATATGCAATATCACTGGCAGAGGAATGAGTTAATGTCTTCAAGAAATTGACAAAATTACAAGTCAAGAAGAATGATTATCTTACTTTCTAGAGATATTTCTGCTATCTTGTTACTCATCACAAGGAGCTCTGTCAGAGCACTGAGAATATATATCATGATCTCTTTCTCAACAATCTACAAGATTATCAAAGACTGTTTGTCAAGACACATTTGAATGAGTTTTTCTTCACTAGCCAGAGACTCATTATCAACATTGATATTGATGATTTGATGAAGCAACTGATCAATTGTACATTCAAGAAGATCATCACTGAGCAGAAAAAGCAGCCTCAGGCTGATTCTGTGACTGTGAAAAAGAACAAGAACAAAGATAAGGACAAAGATGAGGATAAAAGCACACCTGTATGAAAGTGCACTCACTGCAGAAGATATGAATATACTGTTGACAGATGTTTCATCTTACATCCTGATAAAAAGAAAAAGAAGGATGATAAGAAGAATGACAAGAAGAAAGAGAAGAAGAATGACTTGATAAGTTCTCAACCAGCAGCAAATGCAGCAATTATGAAGATTGAGTTCTATTTCTCTTTCACAGTCACCGGAAAATCATCCTCTAGATCTTGATATTTGGACACATGTGTAAGCCTGAATATGACAGGCGAGCTTCATTCTTTTTCAAATATCAAATCTTTTAATGATAATATCTCTGTTGATTCTGCAACTGAGAGAACTGAGTTTGTTAAGAAGATTGAAACTATCATCTTGAAGATTGAGAGTGATGATGTTAACTTGCAGAATGTTCACTATATTCTTAATATTACAGTTAACCTGCTCTCATTTGCAAAGCTTGAAGATCAGGGATTCTGATTTACATTGTCTTTCACTATTTTCTCATTTTTCATTTGCAGAGCCCTGAACAGTGTTATTTTTCATACAGTTCAGACTGCTCAGAACAACATATATAAGATTGATAAACAGAAGTTCAATGAGGATTTCAATCATCTGAACAAGGCAGTCAAGTATATTGCAATGCTACACAAGTATGATTTTGACTGAAAAGTTGATCTTTCTGTAGCTGCTGTTACTACTGTTAATAACATTGATTCTACAGTTTCAAATACAGGCCTCAAGAATACAAGGATATCAAAGACTCTTTTGAACTGGCACTGTGACCTCGGTCACATCCATGCTGGTGCTATAATTGCTATGGTCAAGGATTCTCATACTGAAGTCATAATTAAAGGCTCTAAGACTAAGTTCTTTTGCAAGGAATGTGTCAAGACTGATATGATGCAAGATTATTCAAAAACACTGATGCCTAGATCTATTCAACTCATTGAGAAGGTTCATATTGACCTTGCAGATGATGAACATACATTGAAAGACCTCTCTGACCATCTCTTAGAGTCCCGCCAGGAAACCAGATACTGAATGCTTATCATCTGTGACATGACTCACTATCATTGAGTGTATTTTTTAAAGTTCAAGAATGAGGCTGTTCAATACTTTGAGTTATGACTCAGATTCATGAGTAATCTCAGGTATACAGCCCCTGCTTTTCTACAGACTGATATTGATGATGTTTTCCAATTCACACATATACACACAGTTCTGAATTCATATAGTATCAAATGAGAATCAACAGCATCACATTCACTACATCAGAATGATGTTTCTGAACATGAGATCTGTACTATCATGAGACAGGTTAGAGCTGCTCTTTTGAAAGATAATCTTTCTAAGAAGTTCTGAGCAGATGTTCTAGAGACAGTGATTGTAATAATCAATAATACTCTCACATCTACAGTTCTTTACAACTCAAAATTTTGATTCTCTACTGCAGAGATCTCTGTGACTCCAAGTTCATATAAGATTTCTTGATGTGCACTTATGAATATCTCACTGAATGTAAGACATTTTCACTGATTAAGTGCAGAGGTTTTTGTTCACTTGCATGGATTCCAGCAGTCTGTGGATAAGCTTTCTCCACATGCTGATTTCTATCATATCATTGAATTCAGTGGCACATCGATATATCGCCTATGGCATCCCAAATCTGACAAGATTATTGCCAGTAGTGATGTGAGGTTCCCAATCGCCGAAAAACCAGTTGTTACATCTATGGAACTCATCAATCATATTGTTGAACTGGAGCCTGATATTCATCTGGTTGATGATGAAGACACCTCTGACATTGATAATCCGAATTCTACATGGTTGCGGCCCGCGAAATCGCTGGCTACTTACACTTCAAGCCTTATTACAGGCAACCTCCCGAAGTTCTACAAGGATGCCACATCTCAGTTAGGGGGGGTAGGAGATTATTGAAAGAAGTTCATGCAACACAAGATTACTGACCTGAAGAGACATAATACATGAAGTTTGATCTCTAGATCTGATGTTCTGAGAGATGAACTGATTGCTCTGAGCTGTTGAGTGTTTCTTGAGAAAGATAGGCCTGCGGACCTGAATGCCAATTCTGATGATATTCTTAGAAAATCACATTGAGTGATTTGTGATAACTGACTTAAAAAGGATTCTAGAGAAGAGATCTATACTCTGATCATCACTGATACTGCTAATTGTATTCTTTTTACAATAGCAGTACTACACGGTTGAATACTCTGTCAGATAAATATAGTGATGATATATCTTCATGAGCATCTCACTAAGAAGGTCTATATGAGATAACTCACTGAATTTGAGACAGATTCACTGAAAATGCTTGTCTGTGTGATTGAGAGTAGTCTATATGATCTGGACTCTGCAGTGAAGATCTGGTATAATTACTTAACAGCTCTGTTAAGTGATCTTGAATTTACAGTCAGTGCTCATGATTCAGCACTCTGATATCATACATTCAGATGTTATCTCTATATGATGATCTATGTTGATGATCTCAACATCATATCTGAAGCTCCTGAGAATGCTGATTGGCTAGTGAGTATACTCAGTGAGAAATTGAAAGTCAAGAATCTACATCAGTCAATCAAGTATTTGAATATGAAGATTAATTGTTCAGACAAGAGAATTAATTTAACACATTGTCAATATATTAAATACCTTGTTGAAGATTTCTATCTTGATAATACAGCTGTCACCAGGATATCAATGAAGGATGAATTTCACATTGATGATTCCCCTATACCTGAGAAAGAGGCTGATTTCACAATTCAGTAATATCAACATGGTGTGAGTTGCTTGCAATATCTTGCAGTTAAAACATGTTCTGATATCACTTGTGCTGTCTTGCTACTTACTCAACAGAACATTGATTCAACATCTCAATGTTGAAAGGCCCTATTACATGTTATATGTTATTTGAAAGGGATCATGAATCTGAGCATTTTCTACAGACATGGCCTGTATGAGAGGTTCATTTTGTTCATTTCTTTCATTTCTTCTGTTCCTACTGTTTCTACTGTTTCTATCAATCCCTCTGTTATCCCTGATTTCTCTGATGATTCCTACCTACTCTTCAGCTACTCGGATTCCGATTGGGCCGGCCTCTTGAATGGTGATAGGAAATCAACATCTGGCTATGTTTTTAAGCTCGCAGGTGGCCTGATTTCATGGTGTTCAGTGAAGCAACCTTGTGTATCTCTAAGTTTCAATGAGGCTGAATATGTGACTCTTAGTGAGGCGGTCTGTGAAGCAACATGAATTCAGAATCTCATAATTGAGCTCAGCTTCATCACTACATCTTCAATATGAATCCTCACTGATAATAAGAATGCCATAAATCTCACAAAGATGACAGTCATTACAGCCTGAAGTAAGCACATTGACATGCATTTTCATTTTTCATGTTGACAGTTGAATCAGAGGGTCATTGATTTAGAATACATTCCCATCACTCAGATGACAGCAGATGAACTCACTAAACTTCTAGACAATGTAGCATTTGCACAATTCATGGTTTTGCTAGGTCTTACAGGTGTAAAAGTTGGGAATGTTTAATTTTACATTTGTATTTGATTTTAACAGACTATCTTAGTGGTTTGAGTGTTTTTGTATGTGATTCTTGTTATCTCAAGAGGGGGTGTTGACCCTTACAGCTGTTGCGGTTAGCGATCTCACTAGATCACGTGACCCATCACTATATTATGTTCCTGTAGATAGATCTATCAATACAACCTTCAACTATTCTATAACATCATCTAATAAATAATCAGTATATATCTATATAAATGTGAATAATTAGAAAACATACACTTAAAAAGTGTGGCCAGGGTGAACTCTGCTGTCACTTGAATGACATCAAGAACAGAATGCTGAAATTAATGATTTCTCTCATTAATTTCACAGACAAGGTGTATGAAGATGATCTTGAGAAATATAAGATTTCCAGACTTCTGATAGAAACAGATCTCACAGAGAGACTCTATTTTCATCATATCAGAGACTGAGTGTTATTAAAAAGTGTTACTTCAATGCATATACACTTACTGTGATGATTCACTCTCTGTGCATGTGACTGAGAGTTGCAGCTTTTCCACACTGCATGGCTCTCTCTGAGATGCTGCTGTCAGTTTGCAACTCATACAGTCTTTCAGTCCAGCACACGCTGCGCATATGCAGCTCTGCGTGCTGGGGCTGTGTTGATCATTATGGCCTGGCGTGGTACTCGCTTTTCACAGGCCATGTTTCATTTGATTGAGAGGAGGGAGAAAGGACGCGACTGCTGTTTTATTTGAGAGGAAATGAATAATTGAATCTGTAGAAGATAGGAGATAATTTGATTTCTTCTGCATTTGAAATTTGATTAGTCTATACTCTTCAATTTAAGGGTTTCTGAGAGTGTTTTAATAGTTTTCATATCAGCTTGAAATTAGTGATTGATTGAACAAGAGAAAAGAGAGAAGAAAGAAATAAGAACAACTTATTTTTATAATATAAAAACAGAGAATTACTGCAATCATTTGTTCTAGTAACAAAGATCTGTTTTCTGCATATATCTCTGATACAGATTATATAATAACTGTATATAAAGAATATTAACAGTGCATGTATTGAATGAAGATGATGTTGCTATGTAACACTGTAGCTGTTTCTGTACATCACTGAAAGCTGTTAATATTTTCTTTGAGTCTCTTTATATTTGATAAGTCAGTAATATATTTCAATACACTCTTTCTTTCATTATTATTATCATCATCATTATCATCATCATTATCATTATTATCATCATCACTATCATTATTATCATTATTATCATTATTATCATCATCATCATCATCATTATTATTATTATTATTATATCATTTCTGACTGCCTCTTCTGCCTTCATCTCTCTTCAACACTCACTGAAATCAATCATATTATCTCTCTTTAAATATTCTGCGGTCCTGCGGATCACCAAGGCGCGTGAGTGCTGTCACAGATTGAAGAGAGAGGAGAAGAAGGCATTCAAGTAAGAAGAGACAGATTGTAAGACATGTTATAATGTCTTGAAGAGGCTCTGCAAGAGAGCAGAATGATAACAATTTTAAGTAATACTTCTGATAGATTTAGACTGAACTAAGTATAGGAATAATACAGATGATGCTGTCTGTGAGAGATTGAAGAAGAAGATAGTGAAGAGTCTTATACAGCAGTGATGAGATCAGAAGAAGTTCTGAGAATAATTTAAGACTAAGATGAAGAGAGAAAGAGAGAAGAAGAGTGTTACTGTAAATAAGCAGTAGCAGAAGAAGATTAAGAGAATGTTAAAGTAAGAGATAAAGAAGTTAAAACTGATAAGTTTTTTATTTATTAAGAGATAATGATTTTTAATAATACTTCTGTTCTCTAATTGATTAGCAGGAGCTGACAGAGAAGGAGAGGATTGAGGCCTTGTTCAGGTCTCAAATGCACTTCATGATTCAGAATATTGAGAAGACAGCTCTGCTCTCTGAGTATGTCAATCTGCTTACTGCTGAGGTGGAACCCGAGACAGCAGACCAGGAAATGCAGGATTTTGAGATGCAGATTGACCTGGCTGAGAGGGAGCTGCAGAAACCCTTCTCTGAGAAGACAGTGAAGAGAGATTTTGAAATGATTATCATCTCAGATGAGAAGAAGAAGAAGAAGAAGAAGAATGAGAAGTGAATTGTGAAGAATGATAAGAAGAATGAGAAAGAGAAGAAAGATAATGAGTAGAAAAAGTTTTTTTCTTTTTATATTAGTTAGTTGTAAGTTCATAATTATTAATAATTGAAATTAATTTTGAGTTTTTAAAAATTATTGTACAAGTTGTAATCAAGTCAGGAATAATATATATATATATATATATATTTAACTATCATGATTCACAAATCACTATAATGTATAAGTATCAACATTTTTTCAACATTGATATTCACAATATTAATATATTTTTAATGATATTATCTGATAATATAATTTAGTAATACTCTCTTTCACAATATTAATATATTTCAAGAAATATGACAGAGATTAATCAAGATTATTTATTTACTTTTATACATTGATGATATTCAATCTGAGTTAGTACTAAAATTATAACTAAGCTAAGAAACAAGATTATTTTCTCTTATATTAATTCTTCTTACACATATCAGTGATCAGTTATTGAAAATAAATTATCATCTTTCTTAAATTATTATCATATCTTCTGAATTCACTTCTTTCACTTCTTTTACTTCTATTGAAGATTCATAAACTCTTCAAGAAATCACTGTGAATTATAAAGTCTATGTTATTTACAATTCAACACAGAATACTCTCTTTTAATTATAATGAATAATTACTTCATTCTTCACATCTGATTTCAGGCCATGAAATTTATGAAAAACTCAACACAAATATCAAGATAAACTATGAAATAATTATCAACAGATTGTATTGTAGATTACTGAAGAGTTATCTCTTTACTGCAATCACTGTAACTTTATTCAGAAATATTCATTATAAACTGATCATGACTCTGAAGAAATTTCTCAACATCTGAAGTCATCAGAATGCAGACAATAAAAGAAAAATAATCAGAAAATTACTACTGAGCTGATAAGTTACTCTATCAGATAATAATTTTTAATAACACTAACTTTCTAATTTGAAGAAAATTATGTGAAAATAACTCTGTATCAGTACTCTGATTTCATAACTCTTATCTAATAACTTCTGTGAATAATTACTTTGTATATGTATATCTCTGAATCTTTCTCTTCAATCAATTGAAAACCCTGAATTCTGAACACTTCTTCAAATGCTTAATTCAAATCTTCATATTTCACATTGATTCTGTCTTCAGTTCAATCTCAAGACACACTACAAAGTCAATATGCAATATCTAGAATCAGAGTTGAAGAATCATTGAAGAGTGTCTCTCACAGTGAATGCATGAACTAGTACAAATAATCTTGCATTTATGAGAGTTACATGTTATTACATTGATGAGAACTGAACTTATTGAGAGACATTAATTGAATTTGAATCATTGATCAGTAGTCATACTGAGAATTATATAGCAGAGATATTAATGACTGTGATTAAAAATGACTATTGAGATATTAATCTCAGTCTTCTTGCAATTACAACTGATAATGCTGTGAATAACTACACTATGATGAAGAGCTTGAAGCAAAAATTGGCTTTGCATTTCTGAAATGATAAATAAGGTCATATCTTCTGCATTGCTCATGTGATTCAACTTGTGATGTAAACACTGATAAAGAATCTTAACATTGAGATGAAGAATAATGAGATGACTGATTCTTGAGATGAGAATGAGATGAAAGTAATTACTCAAGTAACTTTTACATTCACTTTATAAAAGATAATGTTTTTTAATAACACTTTTTGATATTGCTTTTTAGTAATGCTTTTTAATAATACTACTGTTAATTTTGAATAGATTGACTAATAATTTAAATATCATAGATTTGAAACATTACTAATGTGATTTGTATCTCTTCTAAACAACAACAATGATTTCATAATATTCAATAAATAAATAAATCAGTCACATCACTGAATATGATACAGAATGTTAGAACATGATGAAGTTCAATATATGAGATGACTGTTTAAGCTCTTTGATTGTGTCAGATGATTGATCATTGAGTGCAATACTCTGATCAGAAAAAGATTCAGATATTGAAACTTTCTGATATAAAGTAAACTCAGTTGAAATATGTGATTAGTTTACTGTTTCAGTTTTATAAGATAATAAAGACAGTCTCAATCACTTGTACACCAATGCTGCAGTCAGCCTGGTGAGTGTATAACAGTTTATTTACTCATCTTAAGAAGCAGTTGAATCACTCAAAAAGAAATTCAGTCTGAAATAATGCTATAGTGCAGGCTATTGTTGCTGTAAGAGATAAACTGGCATATTATTACAGCAAAATGAAACAATCTTTTGCAGAGTACTATGCTGTAGCAGCTCTACTAGATCTCTCTCATCAAGTTAATATCTATACTTCTCAAGATTGAACAGAGAAGAAATGAGACTCATATGTTAAATTAGTCTGAGACTACTATAATATCAACTATCAGAGATTTGAATGAACAGATGTTCAAGATGTGAAGACAGTGAAATACAATTCCCTAGTAAGTAATGATCTTTGATAACACTTTATATCATATAGAACTATAATACTAACTTTGAAACAGAACTTGCATACATTGATTACAACTGAAAATCAGGCAAAACTACATGCTTGTAAAACTGAATTTGACTGCTATCTTCAAGATGATTCAATGAATTTACATGTCAAATCAATTCTAGAGTTATGAAAAATTATTGAGAGTACATATTCAACTGTTGCACTGATGACACATGATATTCTGATAATTTCATTGACAGGGATGAGAATGGAGCAAAAGTTTAACTCAAGTTAAGATATTTATCACTATCACTGAGAACAATTACAAGAAGAAACAATCAAGAAACTCATGATTGTAAAACATAGAATTATCAGACAGTTTAATACCTCTGATCACAGTATATCAGAGAAGTGTAGTTTTCATGAGAAAGTGAAGAATAAACTTGTACAAGAATGTATTTAGTTGTTTCATGAGTGTTATCAATAATCATTATCAAATTCTGATTATATAAGCAATCACTGAATGAACTGAATGAGACTGATTTTAATCTTCAGTTTCAGTCTCATTCTGATTTTGAAAGAATAATCATCTTTCACAGTTTATTCTGGAAAATTACTCTCATTTCACTGTTCTTGAATTAAATCTGATCATTTTTCACACCATTTCTCTCAGAAATGATTCATTTTCAGATTTTTTTGAGGCTTGGTCCTGGTGGGACTCACGCCAAGAAATGTATGAGACCAGATCAAATGGAATTAAATGTGAAATTCATGGTCCTGACGGCCAGTCTAGATTTAATAGAGTGCTTATTCTGCAATGTGAATGAAAATCCTGAGTATATTGTAATATATTGTGCATTATACAATAGTCTCAGAGTCAGATTAAAGAAGAAGTATAATTTAAATCAATTAAATATAAGGTTCTTATTCTCAACTGTGACAGGAATTAAATACTTAATAGACTTTCTATCAGAAACTAAAGCAGTTATAAGAAAATGACTGAATTCAGAAGTATCTGAATATGAAGAGATGAAAATTGATTAGATATAGTCTGTTAAAACAGCTATATATCATCTTTTAATAATTTTATTTTATTATAGTCTCTCTTTACTATACTTGTTTTCTTCTGTTCTTTTCTATCTATCTATTTAATGTGTCTATCTTTAAGACTATGTTCTCTTTTTCTTTATCATGATATTTTCAAATGATTTCAAAGTATCAGAAGATGTTGAAATACTATAATTTATAAACAGTTTTTATATTCTGAGCTGAAATTTTCTGATTTTGTATATTTGAAATTGATAAATGTATAATAGTTGACTCTATAGATATAGGAAAAACTCTGAGAACTAAAGATTCTCAGGTAGATATCATAGTCTCTGACTGCATACATCTATAATTGAAGAATAATAATAATAATAATAATTAACTTATGTAATTTCAACATCTACAGAATTAAATATAAAAGTGCTGAAGAAATGCTTAAATACTTCTATATATTTTAATACTTCTGATCTCACTCTCTACTCATTATAAAGAATGAAAATACTTATGAAACTGAGTGTAGATAAAGATGTTATCAGTTTACTAATTAATTAAGATTGATATATCAATGAACAATTGAAGAATTGTATGAAATAGAAGTTTCATTCATGAATAGAAGTATATAAATCAGTGTTATAAATATCTGATAATATCATGAAATATCTTGATATTCTGTTCTGAGATACTGTTATACAATAGAAAGTGTTAGATTGATTACAGAGTGTCTGACAGAGAAATACTTCTCTTACAATATTTATCTCTGACTTCAATATCAAGATTTTAGAAGCAGGTAATTAATCTTGAGAAGATTGAATTAAGATTAACATACTTAAGAAGATATTGATCTTTGAACTCTTACAGACTCTTATAAGTATAGATAAAGACTAGACTTATAAAGACTTCTGTACACAGCTTCAGACATTGAATGACTGTCTTATCAAGCTTAAGAGTATACAGAACAGTGATAGAAGATGTTACATCTCAGTCACTTATACATCTGTGCTGAAGAATAACAACAATGATACAGATGCTATGAATTGAGTAGACTTAAATATCTATACATAAGCAAGAATCTTCACTGTCTGAACAGACTTCTGAGTTTCTGAGATCACTTCTGAAGAAGTCACTGATCAATGTTAATATAGAGTATGCATTAACTGTAACTGATTGAGATATATCACTTTCAACTACTGATTGATCTATGTGTCTTCACACTTGAGAGAAAGATCAGTGTCTTCTTATTTAAAGAATGAATCAGCATCTGTTCACATCAATCACATTATATTAGAGAAAGATTCAGAAGATAACTATAAGAATATCTCAGTGAAATAGAGAAAAGATTAACTTCTATTCAAATTTATAAATGAAAGCTTGAAAAGATCAGATGATAATGATTTAAAGAGAAAATGATAATGAATACAATTCTTATATCTACTATAATTGATAATATATATAATATGAAAGTCATGATAGACAGCAGTCTATGCTACTATA